TTTTTTTTTTTTTTTTTTTTTTTTTTTTTTTTTTTTTTTTTTTTTTTTTTTTTTTTTTTTTTTTTTTTTTTTTTTTTTTTTTTTTTTTTTTTTTTTTTTTTTTTTTTTTTTTTTTTAGCACAATGCTTTTTTTACCTTAGAAGTTTTTTTATTTTAGTAAGATACAAATAGGTGCCATTGTACTGTTAAAACATGGGTAGCAATTTCAAATTATTAATACCTTGACAGCATAATGTCACAAAAATAATTTTTATCCATTATCTAAAATCAACTTTTAATTAAAAGAGTACATTATAGTTGTTTTCTGATACTAAATTATCTTATTTTAAAATCATGTGTGATGTTGGCACCTACTAAATATACAGCATATATTTTTCTGCTGGGCTTTACTGTCTGCCTGAAATGTGAATTTCAATTATAAAGCATTAATAAGTATGTAGGAATGTCCTGCTATGTGGGTCTGCAATTAATTTCACCAGTAATTAGCTCTACCTTTTGTAGTCTACGTTTTAGAAGGAACACACTACCTTCTTACAAAACCGAGCTGTATTTGCACAGAATTGGTGGTTTTTTACCTTAATAAGAAAGGTTTGCCCAGGTGAAATGTGAATCAAGCTTCAATACAGGCTTCATGTGGGCATACAGGGCACATTTTCAAATTCAGTGCAACGTGCTGGTGTGCCATGTGGGCAGCCCTGGCTCTGTACTGGGTTCTGCCACTGCACACTGGTTACTTTACCTCAGGAGGCTGAAAGTCACCTACAGACCCTCCCTGCTCTCCAGGAACACACATCAGTGCGTGGCTGCAGGGAAAATGAAGGACTCCGGTGTGTGTCACTTCCACCTCCACAATTCCCGTATGGCTGATGGCTCCGTGCCTTCCTCACTGAGCTACTGAAGGCAAGTAGAGATTTTCTTCCATTGTAATCCCAACCAAACACCTAAAACCAATAATGCTGCACCAATAATGAAATTACACTCTCAGTACATTGGAATATTTTATTTTGACTTTACATGCGGTGTTAAAAACCCAAAGAACGTATTATTTACACATCCACAATACAAGTTTACAAGATATCTATACATGTTAAAGTACTCTATAGTATAGAGCAGCTTCATTTAAGGGTTACTTTTTTTATGCCGTACCATTAAAAAAGATACAATCTGCGTTTACCTTTGCACAAATGGATAAAGCATCTTTTATTATTAAATTAACAGAATAAGGACTAGGTTGAATGTTAGAAATTTCAACATAAATACTGAGAGAACTCACATTACCATCTACAAGGCAGCACAATGTTACAGGAGGTTATCAGGGTTCACATACATTTATCTTTCGGGTCACACAAGTCTGTATTAATATTTGTAAAGTGAATTCGGATCAGTTTGTGTCTTTTGACAACGGAGTACATTTTAATAGTTATTAATCTGTAGTGTTTTAGTTGCAAGACAGAAGTGTTTAGGAAGAGAGATCATTGATTTTTGGATCCAGAGGTCTCAGGAAATAAATGTCCCTTACAGCCTTACAAGAAGAAATGACTACTTCTATCCTTTATTTGTTCTGTAACAGAGATCCAGTTTTTTAGTGACTAACCTTTTCTCCCCTTTGAACACATAATATAAATCTCCACCGTCTCTGAAACCCATTGCAGTTATTTGTCCCACTAATTCATGAATATTCCTCTGCCACGGTTATTTCTATAGTTATGCTCAATAAACAATGTGGTAGTGTGTAGTTTGCAAGCTAAAATAGCCATCTGTGTTGAACATCAGCTGCAAGTGGATACTGTAAACCCTACTAAATAGCTTACACAACTTTAGCAGGTGTTCCATTACCCTAGAAACCTCATTTGATTTCACATTATAACTGTTTGATCCTTCAGAGAGCTGGAGTGGAATGTTTATCATGGTAAGGTGATTTAATGCTGCTGTCTTCTTGGATTGTAGGCTGCCTTTAGTTACCATTAATTATTCTTTCTTTTTATCCTTTTTTTTTTGGGTGCTGTTGAGAGGTTTTACAACTGGCACTCGGGAGATATGTGCTATAGTGAGAACACTTGACAGATTTAAATTTTTTTTTTTTTTTAGTACTTTTATCATTTGCATGAATAAGGCACAAAATGCACAGATTCAGGTAAACTCACACATAATATTTACAGAATATTGTCATTACCTGCATGACTTTGAAAAAAAACAAACCTTACTTTACACAACAAAAACAAATTGATTGCACTACTGTTGAGTTTTCACAGACTGCTTCTGCCAGGCCAATTAATGTTTCTTCTTTTTTACTGACAAGAGTCTATCAGCGTGTAGGGCATAATTAAATGCAACAAAAATGTAACCTTCTCCAGTTACACAGGCGTTTGCCAAGTGAATTGATTAGTAGCTGCCCTCAATGAGAAGTACAGGGGCTCAAGTTCACAGTGGCCAGGTATTGGATGGAGGCACTGTGGAAACACAGTAAAACTCCCCCGTTCCAGCCCAAAACACTAGTTTTGAAATGCACAGCTCTGAATCAATAGCAGCATAACAGAGTTATGAAGAATTAAACATATCTGCACTCTTTCACCGGGTGACTGTTTCATCAGGGCGTTACCGCTCAGGAGGCTGTCAGAGATGCGCAGTTCATCCTTAGCTGGCTCCAAACTGAACCCAACGGGCTGCAGAAGGCAGAGTCATCTGTTTGTTCAGTCATGCTCAATGTAAACAATTCCATAGCATAAAAGATGCAATGGGAATCTAAGTACATCCTAGTGTGTACAGTACACACGCACATCCACACACACGCACAGCTTATCTGTGGCAAAAACAAAATGCCACACACATGGAGAGAAAAAAAAAAAAATGCTACAGTTGGGCCAGAGACTGAATTCCAGCAAATTGATTATTAACCCAGCTATTCATTGAGACATTACCATTTTCTGACATTTGTGCAAGAGGCAAGGTGAATGCATACATAGTAAAATGTTCACATTTAATGGGAATGACCACACTTAATGGCAGTCTAAAATGGAACCCATTTTTCAAGTATTTGCTTACTGATTTTTTCCCAATAACTGTTTTTAGCTATTTAGAACAGTAATGTAGCCCCCACCCCATTGTGCTACATGTCTCCTTAGCTCCAAACAAAAGAAATGTAATGACCAGCACTTTCCTTT